ACTACTACTACTACTACTACTAATACTAGTAATACTACTGCTGCTACAATTATTACTACTACTTCGACTACTATTATTACGACATCTACTACTACTACTACGACCACCACTACTACTACTACTACTACTACTACTACTACTACTGCTACTACTAATAATAATACTACTACTACTACTACTACTTTCACTACTACTACTACTTTCACTACTACTACTACTACTACTACTACGACTACGACTACGACTACTACTACTACTACTACTACTACTAATAATAATAATAATTCTCCTACAAACTACTACAAACTACTACAAACTGCTTTTACTATTACTAGTACTACTACGACGACTACTACTACTACTACTACTACTACTACTACTACGACTACGACTACGACTACGACTACGACTACGACTACGACTACGACTACGACTACTACTACTACTACTACTACTACTGCTAGTACTGCTGCTACTACTACTACTACTACGACTACTACTACTACTACTACTACGACTACTACTACTACTACTGCTACTACTACTGCTACGACTACGACTACGACTACGGCTACCATTACTACCATGATGGCTTGTACCGCCCCCTCCCGCGCCGTCGCCGCGCCGCATGACGACTACGGCCTGCGGCATGTGCGCGGCCCAGGGGGGGGGGCCAAGGGATCCACCCCCCCTCAGTCATCACCCCCCTCTTGGCCGCCCCCGAAGACATCACGAGCGTCACCCCCCCCGCGCCGAGCGGATCCCTTGGAACCAAGACGCCCCCCACCATATAGGGGGCCAAATGCGAACCCTACCCCTACCCCCCACGATTTCTGAGGGGGAGGGTGGGGTTCACTCAGAAATCGTGGGGGGTAGGGGTAGGGCTCGCATGTGGCCCCCTACACCAGTCGTGCTCCCCGGCGCCAGCCCTCGGCCTCGCGACTGGCCCCCACACGGGCCCGAGGAGCCCCCCCCCGGGACGGCCGCAGGGTGCTCCGAGGCCAGCCCGCACGGCTCCACGACCGCCCGGAGGCCCAGCCTGCCCGCACAGGGCCACCCAGCAGGCGCCTATAGAGGAGCCTCCGGCGAGGCCCCGGGAAGCCAGAGGCAGCGAAGCGCCTCCGCGGGATGCCGCTGACTGCGGTGATCTGTGCCTGTGAACGCTGTCGTACTCGGCGTTTCGACATGTGGGCGGGAGGGCGAGGGCCCGCGCCGATCGGCAAAACAAGGGAGTAGGAGAACGCTCACTTCCAGGCGCTCTTCGGATGAAGACGGCCTCGTAAAGGCGTCAGGGAGGCTCAGGAAGCTGCGGCCGGGAACTTTTGCCCAGCGTGTGCGGCCGCGGCGGCCCTGCCTGCCATCGGAGAATCAGCGCGTCGCTCCGCTCCGCAGGGCGGGAGGCCGGGGAAGGCTCGGGACGTGGACGCCTGAGGACCCAGACGTGGACAGCGCGTCGCGCGAAGGCGCGGTGGGCCAGAATCCGGCGGCGCGACACGTCATGCCAAAGTTCCTGGTCGTACTTCGCCTCGAAAGCGCCCAACACGGCCCATTGATGCGCCAGCAAGATCCCCAGACGGCTAGCAGAAGTCCGCGCATGCGGAGGGTGCCACCGAGACAATACGGGAGATCTCGGGAGAGCCTTTGCATCCAAGACAACCCCGAGATCCCCAAAAAGCCCTCAACGGGCCCCCAAGATGGTCGCCAAATAAGCCTCAGCTAGGCTAAAGGAAGCCTTTGATAATCCTCCTCCAAATGAAAGTCGACAACCATCTAATGATACAATTGTTGCACGGGGCTGCAACACCCTAGGGCCGCTTCCCAGACGTCGCCAAGATGGCTAACTGGGCCCGTTCAGAGACACCGAAGAAGCCACTCTGCATGCACTGCGATGCTGCGCTGGCACGCTGGCGGAGGTTGCCGCAGGCGGCTGTATACTTCCCAAACTTCGCCCAGTCCACGTTGATCACGTTCCCCTCTATCTGCCAGGTGGCCGGCGCCTGAAACCGGGGGCAGAAGAACCTGCCCACCGGCCGGAAGCAGACCTCGAAGGCGCCGCCCTTCCACTGCAGGCTGTACCAGCCCACGACGTCGGCCATGGCAACGGACGCGGCTGCGCCCTCCGCCGCCTCCGTGGTGGCAGCCTCGGCGGCCATTGGCGGCGCCTCGCGGCCCTCGGCTGGGGCGACCCTCTCGTGCTGCGGAGCGGAGCGGCCCCGGCGGGAGCGGCGGGTCGCAGGGAGGCCGGAGGCGCCCTGGGCCAAAATCTTCGACCGGGAGCGCGCAGTCGAAGAGGGCGGCGGGGGAGAGGCCGAGCCTCCGCCTCCTCCCCCCCCGTCCTGCGCCTCCCCCCTCGTCCGCCTCCGCACCCCTTCGCCGCGGAGGCATGCCGCGGAGGCGGACGAGAGGCGGACGAGGGAGCGGACATGGATGAGCAGCAGCGTCCGCATCGGCAGCATCAGCATCAGCGCCAGCCTCGACATCCGCAGCAGGAGGAGAGGGAGCCCGGAGGAGGAGGACGGGAAGGGCGAGGGAAGGGCGCGGAGGAGGGGGAGGAGGCGGCCAGGGACCGGGAGGAGAACGGCAAGGGCGAGGCGGCGGGGGAGGAGGACGACGGGCAGGAGGCAGACGAGAGAGAAGGAGTGAAGGGGGGGGGGGGGAGCGTGAAGGGGGGAGGGGGGGTGGGGGGGGGGGGGGGGCGAGCGGCCGCTCCCAGAGGCCTGCCGAGAGGGGCCCACAGGGAGACGCGCGGCGCGCTCGCGCGCCTGTCTGCCGCGTCGGGAGACGGAGCCCGAGCCGAGCTGGCCGGCCCTCCGCCGCGGGACGGGTGTGCCTGCGGCGGACTTCGCCCGCCGCGCTCGAGACGGGCAGATGCCAGCGAGCCGCGCTCGAGACGCTGCGGCGGACTTCGCCCGCTTGCGGCGGACTTCGCCCGCCGCGCTCGAGACCCCTGGCTGCGTCTTCGGGGGCAGGGAGCAGATGGCATTGGAGCGGTGGGGGGGAGAGAGAGAGGGAGAGAGGCAGGAAGGCGGGTGCGGGGTGCGGAAAGGGACGAAGGAGAAGAGAGGCGACGACGAGGACGAGGACGAGGACGAGGACGAGGACTGGACGGGGAGGAGGCTACGATGGTCTATGGCGTGCATGCGCTGATAACAGACCTGAGCCCCACACGGAGGCCAGAGCGCCTCCCCAGGACGCCGTGCAGAATGCCAATCGCGGCACGACACGGGTGCTGTCGTTACCCACGTTCGGGCCGCACGACTCCCAGTCCTCCGTTTCAGCTGCATGCTGATCGCATGAGCTGGGGCTGAATGCACGCTGGAATCCTGCATGTATGACTTACGCGTCGGGGCTGGCACCAAGGCGCACGAGCATGGCCTGCTAAGGCTTCGGGTGTGTCGAAGTATACGGGTTTCTGAATGTTTGCTCGCGCGGGCGACAATACGACCAGGGCAAGCAGTGAGAGACCGAGGTCAGACTGACAGTCAGTATGCTGAGGACGGAGATGGCTTCAGGGAGAATTGGGGTAGTAGATTGAACGGTTTGCAACCCCTCATGGCACACTGCACGCGAAAATTCAAAGTTCAAGGGGGTCGGCGATCCTGCGGAGATCTCCTCTTCACTCCAGACGCCTCCGCTGGCATCCTGGAGGCACCGAATCGAGCAGAAAGAGCACACATGTAGACGATGCGAGACTTGCCGCTCATCCACAGAGACAGCGAACAGCATGTGACGCGAACAAGGCGTTTGGACAGCTCATATACCAGCAGGCGTCTTGCGCACTCTCGCCCAGCTGTGACTAACCAGTGCGTCGTTCAAACAAGCATGCTGGATCACCTGATGCGTCCGTCGGGCACTGCGCGCTCAGCAAATGTTGAACGTGCGACGTCAAGGGTGAGGGGTGGCGGCCGCACACCCACCCTCGCAGGAGAGGAGCGGGTGCGCGGTCCCTGTGTGCGGGACGGGGTGGGATAGGGGGGGCACCACAAGATCCCCCGATCTTCCAGGTCCAAGCACGGTGTGCCTGCCCGGCACTTCAGGGGAAGCACCGTACGCCTCCCAGACAAGACTGCGCCAGCTGTGTGCACTCATGGCCTGCAAGGTTTCTGCCTCTTCCTCCTGCAGGGGGGGGGGAGGAGGAGGAGGAGGAGGAGGAGGAGGAGGAGGAGGAGGAGGAGGAGGAGGAGGAGGAGGAGGAGGAGGAGGAGGAGGAGGAGGAGGAGGAGGAGGAGGAGGAGGAGGAGGAGGGGGAGGAGGAGGAGGAGGAGGAGAAGGAGGGGGAGGAGGAGGAAGAGGAGGAGGAGGAGGGAACATGGGGATGTAGATTGGTGGCAAGGTCATTGCTTTTGAAACTCGGGCCGCCCGCGCACCGCATTCGCCGAGACTGCCCTATACCTAAGTGGGAGCCAGGCAAAACTTCGAAACGTTCGGAACCTCTTCTCAATCCTCCGAACCGGTCGAACCCTCTGCAAGACCAACGAGCGCTTAAAACCATATCGAGAGATGCCTCAAGGAGAAAACTGTGGAGGGAATTGCCACGGAAAAGCCATAACCTCTGTTCCCTAAGCCCCAACTCCAGAAGAACGAATCAAGCGAACTAACAACACATGCCAACACATGCCAACCTTCCTCCGGATTCTTCGGGATGGCACCCGTCTTGTCTATAGCGAAGATCACGATGCCTTGCCTGCACTGCCGATTTGATGCGAACCACCCATTGCAAGGATACTCTGGACGTCAATCATATGCTGTATTTGAGGCATGCCGACATGCATGTCACCACTAGCACGAGATGGGGCACAACACAAGAGATACTTGCGTGACGAGGAGAGACGCATTGAGCCTGACAACGTCGCATGGTACAAAATGATGCCAAACCCAGCTGCTCTGCAGAATCTGCAAGATTCCGCACCAACGCGCAAGACACATGTCACGGAGCAGTAGGCACGAGATAAAGGAGTAGCGCCCAGCATGCATGAGTCCCACAAGCCCTTCAGGGCGTAGGTGATGTAACGGGATTTATCTTCCAACTCCCCTTCTTCCCCTTCGAATACGGGTTTACCAAATGTTCCCTATGAGTGAGCACCCCCTCCAACCATCCCTGTCTAAAAACAGTGTACACTTTGGGGCAAATTCATGGGTCATGATCGGGGGGCCGCGAGCACTAGACAGGGACGGCGGGAGTGCCCGCATATTGACTGCTTTGCGCAGGGCCAACACCCCCCGCAAAGACAATACTAAATGCACTCCGAGACAAAATCTAGATCATGCGCGGGCACCCCGCGATCACTGTGCATTGGTTGTTGACTGGGACGGCGAGGGGGCTGGCATATTGCCTGCTACGTGCAGGCCCACCGGACGCTTTGGTAGCAACCCCGACGCGATTGTGCACTGGTTTTCGACAAGGGTGGTGGGGGCCGACACGTTTCCCGATGTGTACTGCCACGTGCGCAGGCGCACCTGGCTCACTCTGCGCGTGCCCCGAACGTGGCGCACCCCGAACGTGGCGCACCTGGCACGGCTGGAGCATGCGGCACACATTGCGCAGCAGGATCACGTGGCGCATCGGCGCACCTGACGTGCCCGGCAAGCTTCGGCCACAGGGGTGCCTGGCGCACCTGGCGCGCCTGGTATGCCTGGCGCGCCTCGCCCCAGCGTTGCGCACACGGGGTCTCTTTTGGTTCTCAATAGCCGTCCATCCAAAGACGACCGCTGAATATGCTCAGGCTCGGGTGTTACTTATGTGTTGGGAGGGCGGGTGGGGGTGAGCTAGGCGGCCTGCGGGGGGGTGGGTAGCTTGATCACTGTTCCCTATGAAATAAATAAACATCCCCTCCCCCACCCGGCCGGCAGTCAACCCGGAACCATGCGCACATCATGAGGGCCCCCCGCACCATCTCTGCCAAAAAACAATACAAAACGCACTCTGCCTCCAAATTCGGAGCATGCGAAACCAACCCGATGCGGCCCCCCAACCATCCCTGTCAAAAAACAATACACAATACACTTTCGGGCACAGTCTGGAGTCATGTTCGTGAGGCCCGCGGGCACTTTGCACTGTTTTTTGACTGAAAGGGACGGCGGGGGTGTCAGCATATTGCCTGCTGCGCGCGGGGCTACCATTCCTGGAAAACACACAATGCAAAGTACACCTCGCGGCTACATGTGGGTAGTGCGCGGCCACCCCGCGACCACTGTCAAGTTGTAGTTGTCAGGGACGGCGGGGGTGGTGGTGTATGGCCTGCTGTGCGCAGGCCCACCAGACAAAATGATGAGCATTGGTTTGCGGCAAGGGTGGTGGGGGCCGACTTCTTTCCCGATGTGTGTTGTCATGTGCGCACGCGCACCTGACACACTCTGCACGTGCCCCGGACGTGGCGCACCTGGCGCGGCTGGAGAGAGCATCTGGCGCACTAGGCGTGCCTGGCACGCTCGGGCCCGAGGGGTGCCTGGCGCGCGTGGCGCGCCCGGCACGCGAGGCGCACCTCGCCCCAGCGTCGCGCACATGGGCTCGGTGTTGGTTCCCAGTAGCTGCCCATCAAAAGACGACCGCGGAACATGCTGAGGCTCGGGTGTTACTTTTGTGTTGGGAGGGCGGGCGGGAGTGAGCTAGACGGCTTGCTATCTGAAGGTGTCTTGACCCTCCCCCTACCCCCTACCCCTAAACCTGGCGGGGGGGAGGGGCGGCGGCGGGTTGGAGCGTCCAAGACGGCCCCGGCGAGAATGCAACAATCATTGACCTGACGTAGGTATTGGGCCCATGTTGGGCTCCTTGGGGGGGGGAGTTAAGGACCCCGCCTTCTTTGATCGAACTCCTCCACGATGGCCCCAACATGGTCCCCAAGGCTCCCACGAGGGCCCCAGGATGGCCCCAACAGGGCCCCAAGAGGCGCCCAGGAGGCCCGAAGAGGCCCCCAAGAGGCTCCCCAAAGGCACCCGAGACCCCTCAAAGCGGCTCCAAGACGCTCCCGCGAGGCACCGCGGGACCGCCAAGAGAGCCCCAAGAGGCTTCAAAGAAGCTATCGCGAAACATCTAGAGAGACCCCGAGGCATCCAAGAGGCCTCTGGCCTTTCTGCTCCTTCCTCCTATCTCCCCCCTCTTTTACTTCCCACTCGCCCCTCCTCCTCCGCGTCCGATTCCTCCTCCAGCCCCCCCCCCGTAGGATATGACGGCTTCCCCAGCCCTTCATTCCACTGCATTGTCCTCCACATCCCTGATCAGGGCAACTCAGCTAGGCATCTTTTTCAGATGGGCTGGTGGGATTACTTTTTTGATCGCGAGCGCAAACGAAAAGGCCGCGCGCCGTCCAGAGCTACCGCAAACCAGCAGTAGCCTAAATTGCACACTAGAGAGAGGAGAAGAGAGAGAGGCTGGTGGGATTACACGAAACGTCTAGAATAGCGGGATCGTGCAACTTGGGGGTCATTCTGAGTCTTCCTATCGTCCGTTCCAACTTGTTCACTGGGAAATGAAAACGCGTAATCACTCGTGCAGCGTCTCGTGTGTTGGACACCGTACCGTCGCTGTTTTTGCTTGATCGACCTAAGTCCCATCCCGCCCGCAGACCACCGAAATTGATGGACCAAGAAGCATGGTGCGAAGCGCCAGTGCAGACTTGCATTCATTCCCCACACCAAGCTTGTTTTTTTCGGATAAGACGAAACCAAGGCGAGGACAAATTCGGGTGAGGATACACAGAGAATCTCTGAGATCTGGCGGCACTGGAGGATGTACCGGGCGCGCGGGCATTCCTCTCAGAACGCTCCAGAACGCTCTGAGAGCGATCCGGAGCGTTTTGGTACGGATTCGTCCTCGTCCTAGCCCCGTCCGACAAAGGGGTCCTTTGCTTCGATGTGTTTCGGGAGCGGCCCAGGGGGGGGTCCAAGAGGGGGGGGGTGCAAATCATGACCGGCGGCATGTGCGCGGCCCAGCGGGGGGGCCAGGGCCGCAATGAAATGAGAAGAGGCGCCATGATATCTGGGGAAAGATCATGGCCCCCGCCATGATGTCCACCCCCCTCTCTTCCGCCCCCGAGCGTTGGATATTTGGACTAGACTGCTGGGTCTGATGTTCCCCCGGGGCCGCCCTGTGCCGCCTCGTGTTTGGAAGCCCGAAATGGGCACGGAAAGAATGGGCACAATGCCCAACAGCAAATGCTGTCTCGAACCAACAGCGGCCGCTGCCGCGCAGGCGGCCTCCCGTCTCGAATGGGCACAGGCCGCGGCGGCGCCGACAGCGAGTCCTGTTCAGTGGGCATCGTACCCATTCCCATCGTACCCATTCCCATCGTACGAAGGGTTGCAACAAAAACCAAGGGTTGCAACAAAAACCAAGGGTTGCAACAAAAACCAAAAACCAAAAACCCTGGGTTGCAACAAAGGGTTGCAACAAAGGGTTGCAACAAAAACCACGGTGGTTTTTGTTGCAACCCTTCGTTCTGTGGTTTTTGTTGCAACCCTTCGGTTTTTGTTGCTTCCCATCGTGCAGATTCCCATCGTACCCATCGTACCCATCAACAGGAACTGCTGTTGAGCATCGTACCAATTCCCTCCGTGCCCGTTCCGCTCGTGCCGCCTCGTGGGCGCTCGCGTGGGCGCCCCTCGCGCGCCGGGCGGGCCCGCCGAGGCTGCGCGGCGCTGCCGCGTGGGCGCAGCGTGGGCGCTCGTGGGCGCGCCCCGTACGCGGACCTCCTCCTTCCTCCTCCTCCTCCTCCTCCTCCTCCTCCTCCTCCTCCTCCTCCTCCTCCTCCTCCTCCTGCCCCCCTCAATCCCCTGATCACGGTGCCCACCAGGGAGGGGGTCACAACGCTGCCAGACGAAAAGTTTTAGACCCCCCAGACCATCGATGAAAGGGCGGCCCTTTGCCCAGGCCCCCCGAACACTCCCAGACAACTCAGGTCAGACCCCCCCACGTGTGACCCCCCCACTGTATTATGGAATCCCGAGTGGCGTACACCGCACAGCTCTAAGACGAAGCCAGGACGAGAATAACATCGGGTGGGGGAAAATCGAGAATCTCCGAGATCCCGCGGCTCTGGAGGAAGTCTCGGGCGCCGCGGCCTTCTCAGAGCGTCCCGGAACGCTCTGGAATGGATCTAACCCCATCCGAAGCTTTCACCTCCAACTTACACTACATGTATTGCACGACACGGCTTCCACAACATATGCTCTCCCTTCTCACCGGAACACAAACTGTACCTCCCAGCCACCCCAGGTTTATCGGTTGCCCCCAGGAAACCCGAATTTGCATATGACTGTACCTTATCGCTCACTGCGCAAATGAATACAATCCTCAGGGATTGCCCTTACCCCTGTCAAATCTGCCACCGGGCCTTGTGCTCATTGGGCGTGTTAGAATGCCTGCTGTTGTCAAGGAGGTTTCATCAGTTTTCTAGGGCCGCCTCCCCTGCATTAGCTCTCCGGCGCTCTTTTCGGCTCCAGACGGGCAACATGGCCTCCAAGACGGCATCCAAGGCAGTCACGTGAAGATGGCCAAACAGGCCTCCAAGATAGCTCCAAGAAAGCCCATGGGGCCCCCATGCGGACCCAGAGTCGGCCCAAGAAACCCAAGATAGCTCAAGAGCCTTCAAAGGGGGTCCCAGGACGGCCCTAAGACGCTTGAAGAGGGCACGAAAACGGCCCAGGGAGGCTTCCAAGACGGCCTCCGAGGGCGTCAGACAGGCCAAG